ACAACTCTGCCCGCGATTCTAAATACTTCACCAGAGTCCCAGGTGTGGGGACTTGGCTAGGACTGAGTGAACTTTGTCTTTCTTTTTGCTTTCCTCCCCCACGCACTATGCGTTTCCTGTGCTAATATTATCACTGTCGTAACAACGTTGTGTCTTAAGAGCAGACAGGTTTAGTTAAAGCAGCATCTGGGGTTCACTAGTGGTGTCTGGGGACTGTATAGCTGAATTGAAGGAACTACTAGCTTCACCCATTCAGTGGTGCAGAATAATAGCTAACTGTTCTTTGTCCTGCCTGTTATTTATTGCACCAACATAGCACTGGAGACTCCTGAAGGGGCTCAAAATATTATTCCACAGTGCTACAGCTCCACCCAGCTGAATGGCACAAAATGGGACTGGTCCATTATCTAGATCTCTGGTTAAAATAACTCCCAAACTTGGAGGACATGAGAAAAATCTATTGACCTTGATCATTGTAGCACATCTCTGTCTAAAAAGCCTTCTTCAGTCTCTGCAGTCAAAGAGCTGAAGCTCATCATTATATTTGAGCATGTAATTGATGACTGTTGCATGTTGACTTCATTGTGACTATTCACACTCAGAATTAATTGTGTCTTCCAGATCCCTCCTCAACCAGTGCAGTGCTTAGCTAATGTCAGTGAGGTGGGGATTTTTATTATCCTGCTGCTTTCTTTGAGGGTTATATAGATAAATCATAGAATCGCTGAATTGTTTAGGCTGGAAAAGACAATCGTGTCTAACCATTAACCTACCTCTACCAATGGTCCAATGTGTCACTTTAAAGGAGGAAGAGATATGGGATGTCTCCAAGCAACTAGAAATGACTGTAGAGACCATCCACCTCTTGAGGAATGATCTCAGTAAAGCAAAGGTACACGTTGTGCATTCTTTACTGGCAGCTAGCTTCTGATACCACTGCCACCTTGGGACGTGATTGGCTCCAGTGTAGACTTCCAGCCTAGAGGAAGAATCTGCCTTTTTGTGTCCTTCTGTTGCTGTCACATCTCTGTTTTCATTGATGAGAGTGAACCATGGCAACAGCTGTACAGACTCCCATCTTGGCTGGCACAAAGGCCACTGATGTATATTGTTGCCTGTTTCTGCCTACCAGGAGTAGCCTGAATGTTTCTGGAACATTTAGATGCAAAATGCAAACCATAAGGAGGGAATACTGATCTTTCTAGGTTGTCAAGCAAAGATTGCTGGCCATAAAATAGTCAAGATCCTTAACGTGACCAAAATTTCATTTCAGGAAATGCAGGATAGTGTCAAATACCTTTTATTCCTTTGAATCAAGGTATCTGTTTCTGGTCTGCTGGGGTCAGTCAAAGAGCATGTTAGATAGGACAGTAAATTCTCATATTCCACACATCTTTTCTGACAACATGATGAGCTCCCTGTTTTCTGCCTTTCAGGAAAATGAATCTCAGATTAAAAGCCAGATTACTAAAGATTTCTGTTGCATGAAGGAATATGTTGAAAGACAGGAGAGAAACACACTGATGTTCATTGAACAAGAGCAAAAAGCAATGCAACAGAAAATTGAAGAGACTATTGACCATCTCTGTGCTGATGTGAACGAGCTCCTAGACATCAATGCCCAAACAGTAAGTGATGAAGTGACAGAATAGGAGTGGAAACTCAATAGGAGTGTTAAATGTCTTAGATAGCTGAACACATACAGAGCACTTTGAAGTCCCCACTGCACCATTCTGGCTAGAGAAAATGGTACCCATCCACAGACTGCTGCTGCCAGGGGGAGTCTGGAGTGAGTTCAGAGGAAAAAAGTATTAGAAAAGGCACAGACTGGGCCTGCAACTCAGAACTCTGTTTCTTCCAAGGATGTTGATGAGCTGGAGCACAAGTGTGTACTGCATTGCTTAAATCCAGTTCTGAGTCAAATCTTAGGTTAAGAGATAAGATCCTTTATTATCTTTTTATTTTCCAGAATATGTAGATACATGTATGTGTGCAATTTAAAGAACTCACAAAGTTATTAAATATTTTCTAACTACTTTCTTGGGAAAGATATGTCAAGGGCTTTTAAAAGAGGCAGTAAAAGCACTTCAAATTCTGCAGAGCCCATTTTGATGTTGAAAACAAGAATTCCAACAATGCAAATTAGCTAGCAGGAATTTGGAGTGGGGCTCACTGGGTGTGACAGTGCCAGAAAGACTTCCAGGGCCCAGGCACAGGGGCCTAAGTTGGAATCCACCTCGTGTAACTATATTTATATCTGATCCAGAGTCCCCTTGTAGGCAATGAAGATAATTGGGCACTTGTAGAGTGTGAGTCATCTGGCCTGCTTGAGCTGCTTACCTATGAATGAGAGTAATCAAGCCTTCAGAGGCCTGTTTCTTTCCACAGACTATAAAGGCAGACTAAGAAAACATGCTCAGATGTAGATTTCCACAATTTCTATATTTAGACAAATGAGGCTTACCTTGTCATGGGTATTTTATGGTATATCTCATATTAACACATTTTAAAACTTTTAGTTTGGGTTCTAGAGCAAGAAGAAAGTTTAAAAAGAGAAAGTTTGAGTATGCATGTGTATACTTAAGGAAATTGTAGTATATATAAGAAAAATAAGTCTCATTCTTGGTTTTCTTGGAAAAAAAGAAAAAAATTATAAAGAGTAAACTACCCTTTCATATTTTCTGCCAGGTTTCAGGTTAGTTCTCTGAGATAACTGTCATACAAAGGAACCTCTCAATACAAAGAATAAGATTTTAGAGAGGTCACTGCTGGTTTTCTGCTTTGGCTTTATAGTGTCAGCTGATACACTAGATGAAATAACTGCTATTGTTTACATCTTCCCCTTGATTCTTTTATGTCATTGTTAGAGTAACCTTCCTGAGAGATACAGATGCAAAGGCTTACCTTTAACAATGAATAAAGTTGATGAGAAGCTTAATGTGGTCAAAAGTGCTGTAGAAGATCTGAAGAGAAAATTGGAAATTTTACTTTTGGAGAAATACCCTCAGCACTTCCAACCAGGTGAGTTTTCCTTATTTTGAAATCTCTTTTTTTTAGAGGGATTGTATCTAGCAGGGTCCTGCATGTGACCCCCCTCAACTAAGTCCCTTGCATGGGGGGCTGGACAGGTGTAATTTGGTGCTACTTTGACCCCATACTAAAGAATTGTAGGAAAAAAACTACTCTTACAAACAGGTTGGTCTAACTTTGGAAACAAAAACTTCAGAGAAAACAGGTGTGCATGTATGTGATTATTATAAAACCCCTTGCAGATTTGGAAACAACATGATTATATTTCTTTCATGGGAACCCAAAAGAAAGGAAATGACTGATATGCAAGGCAGTAATGGATTTAATTTTTTTTAATTCTAAATACAGAGTAATGTAACAACAAAGTCTTTGCTAAAAGCAGAGATAAAATTCCCTCCCACTGAAAGCTGTGTCTAAGCAAAGCTCTGGTATGGCCTTTGCTGTGTAGTTCTCCTCCTCCCAGCACTGTCTCTCTGCTGTAGAAAGACCATTGAGTGGTTTTGAGAGCAGCTTGAGACTGATGTAAAACCCCAGCACCACTGAGGGTCAATCCTCCCTTTCCAATGCTACCTGCCTTTTCCAAGCACTGGTTCTCAAAAACCATAATCATATTTTTACCTCAGGGTTTTTCTTACCTCGGTCATTTCAGCAGCTGAGTTTACAGCTTCACTCCACAAGCAGTTTTACTAGCAAAACTGAGGAGTCAGTGCACAGAGGGATGGAGCTGGAACTTTAAAGGATGGTTTTTATGATGAAGTCCATGTATTATGTAACTATACTAGAAAGTGTCTGCAAATGGGTCTTGTAAATCTGCATCTCAAAGTCATAGAAAATTAGAAACAGCCCTTAAAGCTGTAGGGCTGAATGTCTGGTGTTTTGGTCAGCAATTAGAATAAAAAAATTACTTTGTGCTTCTGAAATGTGTATGCAAATAACGCAAAAAAAACAGATGATACTCAAGAAAAAATTAAGAACACCTTAAACCTGTGACAGAAACTGGCTTATCTGCACAGAAAGCTTCAACAGCTTTCCCCATCTAACTTTTCTGACTGCTCCATTCTGACCGCACTTAGGGCAGCCGTGTACATTTTTGGATAAAAATGTTTGCCTACACACCTTTTGAGAATTTATACAATCAAAATAGCAACTCTTTCGTACTTTAACCACTAGCTAGGTTTATTTAATGTATATTTTCCTTTAGCATAAGTACTTCCTACCTTAAATTTTGAAGAAGTGCATTAACACAATTTTTTTTCATATTTAGTACAACCTCCAGACTTACAGCAGGAGACAAGGGTCTGGACATTATCTCCAGAGTCTGCAGCTCAAAATCCAGAACCAATAATTTCAAGCCAGTTTTCTCAGTGTAAGTATGCAAGCCAGCATGACTCCTCAATAACAATACTCAATATGTGACTCCTCAATAGCAATATGAGGCTGTGGATTTCCCAAGGAAGACTGTACTAACAGTCATCAGCAGGAGATCTGGCTGTTCACCTGAAGCACAGAAACACAACGAAGGTACCATGAATTAATCAGTTACTGCTGCACAATGGAATAGTATACCTGGCTGCACAGGCAAGATAAAAGGGATAAGAATCCTGTTTTGTGGAGGTATAGAAGTTGTGGTGTAGCTTGTGCTGGCTGCAGAGGCTGAGTATGGGCAGTTACAGCACCGTACTGATCTTTACTGTGTTAAGTCATAAATTACTCCATTTATTGCCTAAATTCTGTGTCATTTTTACAGAAATATTTTTACAGTCAACACAGTACTACAGCTGTAGCTTAAAACACAGTTTTTTGCTGATAAAATATGCAAGAAATGTCCAGTGACGAGACAACTGTGTAAGTTTTATTAAGCTAAGCATCCCATTTATTACAGTTTTTTTAATAAGACTGTGGTTGGGAATAAGATCCAGCCTGTGGTGTGCCAGGTACCTTCACCTTCCCACTGGAGTGCATGGCCATCCTGGATGTTCACATGGTTGTACCTGTTATTGTTTCAGTGTGCTCAGGGTAGAGCTGTTTGTGTTTGGGTGCGGATTCTTGCTGATCTGCAGGACTGAACTTTGATTAAGGTTTATTGTATGAACGTTTATTTTCATTTCAGTTCTTAAGTAAGAATGCACATCCACTGTTATTTAGGATGCATGTAAATGCTGAGGTCATCTGTCTTCTTGTTGCCTGAAGGTGAGAATATTTTCCTTTCTCTTTTCCAGGGGCAGAGGATGTGACTTTTGATCTCACAAGAATACACAAGTACTTGGCAACCACGGACCAGAACAGGAAAGTGATGGTGGCCAAATACCCGACTAATTATGAACCATCACCCAACAGATTCTGCATCAGCCAAGTGCTGTGTTCACAGAGCTTCTCTGCTGGGTGCCACTACTGGGAAGTCATTACCAGGGACAGCAATGGATGGGCTGTTGGAGTCGCTCAGGAAATGATTGGTAAAAGGGACAAATTAGGAAGAACAGAGCATTCCTGGTGTGTGGAATGGCAGGGTGCCAAAAAGCAGCTGTCAGCATGGCATAGGTATCAGGAAACATTATTACACAAGGATAAACCATTGAAGATTGGAGTTTTCCTGGAACTACAAAAGAAGACTGTGTCGTTTTACTCCATCACTGAGAAAGAAATGCTTTTGCATACTTTTGAAATCAATACCTCAAGTCCTCTTTACCCTGCCTTCTGGCTATATAGTCTAGAAAGAAATGGATCTTTAACTATAAGTCACACAAACAGGAGATAAAGCCTGTTCAGAAAAGTGACAATTTTGCCTATGACTGCAGAGCTTCTCTACAAGCTTCAGTGTTTTGCACAGGAATTTACCAAGGAGTGTACAGCTACCCAGGCTTTCCTGGAAACCAGTAATACTTCGTCTGCTCTGCTTTTCTTCATATTGTGCTCTCACGTAGCCATAATTCATTAAAGCAATTCCAGAGTATGCTGGTGGTGGTAACCGTCCCTGGGGGAGGGACGTGGATTTCTTAAGCAGCTTTAAATAGTCCTAGGATGTTCCTAG